ATGGCCTATGGGCTAGAATTCTCCAAGAATTCGGCTTTAAAAGTGGGTCCTGACACCTCCAAGATTTCGGCTTCAAAAGAGGGTCATTACAGTTAAAGGTATTTATTCAATAATTACATTTTTTACTGTTCATTATTTTTCAAGAAATGTACTTTTTTCATTAAAAATTCACTGAAGAGCATAAGAAAATTACACTCACCAACAGCTACGAACGGTTTCGGCGGAGGATTTTCTTTGCTTATACTGCATGGCACAGATATGACAGGTGGCCCATCTGCCTCCAGAGGTTGGGCAGGAGCTGCAGCCGAAACATCAGGCAGAGAGGCAGGAGTCCTAACCCCGTCCATGGCAGCTCCGCTTGTGGCAGCGGCTCGTGCATTCACATGGCGACTGCCACTGGTTTGGCGGTAGTTGTTGGAGGAATGGACAGCTGAGCCTCTGCCTTGCTTTCCAGGACGCCCGCGAGGAGCTCTTCGGTGAGGAACATTAGCTGGACGCGAACTAGTAGAAGAGTTGGACATTGGTGAAGTAGTTGCAGCCGAGTTCACCGGTACCTTTGGCGTGAGGTCAGGAGGTTCCCCTTTGTAATTTGACAATGCAGCAGTCGCTGCTGCAGCAACAGAGCGGACAGTCACTCCCATCACAGAGGCACTTTCAGGACTGGAAGAATCTTCTAAAGAAGGGGTAGGCAATGTATCGTTACCAGCAGCATCAAAGGGATGAACCACCGGAGGTTTTGCAACAGATTCTGCACACCCTGCCGTTGGATGTTCTGTTGACTCTGGAACACCCAAAATTACGTAAAATAAGGTAAATAACACAATTCATTTTTTTACAGTTGAAAAAGTAAACAACACACTCGTCAGTTCCCCTGCCCCTCATGTTAAAATTATTTTCATATTGATTTGAAATTCTGCTAGGTAAAAGAAAAATTATGTTTTAACTACTGTGTAGTGTCAAAAATTGTATATCTTTGGCTGGAAACACTGATCGTACACACACGTGATGTCTATAAATTACAGTGAAGGAGTTTCAGACTCAATAAAACACTGTAAAAGGATTTCTGTAGAGTGCTGTTAAATTATTTCCCCACCAGCCAAAAGCAATGGAACTAAAGTATGTTAAACAACATTTAAGAATTTTTTTCTTTATTAATACTGTTCTCACCATATCTTGCGAAAATAAAAATCCATACCTATGATATGGCTTTAAATTAGTATATAAAACCCTGACTTTCAATTGAAAGTAATTAATATAAGATTTACTTAAAGTGATAAAAATTAAATGAAAATTAATTTTTGTAGCAATGTTAAGAATGGTAAACCCTCTTTATAATGAATCTCTTTCTTTCCTTAAACGGTTTTTATCTTTAGAAGGGTTCGCTATGAAATGCTTAAAATACTGAATTGATACTCACTTCTCTTACCTAAATACATATATTAACTTTTTAAATATTTTACTTTATTTTTACTTTACTAATATTTTAAATACTTTAAATATTACAATGTTTAAGGTATGAGTTTATCCCATCTTCGGCGAAACCACGAATTGCATTAGAAGATAATTTTGATAGCATAATTATGATCAATAACGTCACATATTAATGATCAATAACGTCAAAAACTTTCGAAATATCTAAACATATTCCCATGGGTGGTTCATTTTGATCCTATGATGAAGCAACATCTTTAAGAAAAGAAAAAAATGCCAGTTTCCGTAGAATTTGATTTCCTAAAACCGCGTTGCCAGTCTGAAAACGCTTCGTTTTCTTGAGAAAAGTTTCTATTCGCGTGTAGAAAAGCCTCTCTAATAATGTTGAGAAACCTGACAAAGAGAAATTAGCCGTAATTTTGATTTTTGTTCCCTTAAAAAAATTTAAAAAAGGGCTTAATTTTTTGCCGTTTTGAAAATATCTGCAAATATTTGAAAAAGCATTGAAAATGTCAGTTAACGGGTGTACAAAGGCAGGTACACAAGTTTTCAATAAACAATCTGGAAATTCATATAAACAAGATTAATGTTTATTTTTTAGTTTACTCACTATCCTCTGGATTTCGTTAGAAGTTGTTTCAGAAATAAACATCGTGTCGAAAATGTTTTGGGAAAGGAATGTGAATGTTGAATATTTCGGTTTTAGTCCCTTCGCGAGTTCAGCCGTAATTCCAGAAAAGTGCTGATTGAAGAGATTTGCCACTTTTGCCGGATTACTTGCTTCTCTTTCATTATCCTTTAATACAACAATCTCTACTAAGTAACGAGATGATGTGGTTGTATTTTTTACGATATTCCGCATTGCTTCAGTTTTGTTACTAGGGTTCTAACATCCTTATTTTTTTATTATTATTCTTGCCTGAACTATTACTTTCCTTAAAATTTATTTGTATTCTCGCAAGTAGACATGGAAACCGGGTGATACGTTATGATGCTTTGAAATAAAGTAAAGCGTACGTTTGTTTCTACACGATGTTCAAATTCCTTGTGTGATCCAATTATTAGTTTTCCGTAAAATATTTGATTTTATCTTTTTATGAGGAAAGCATGCGTTAAAGTGAAATGAAAGCTTTGAAAAAAATAAATTATATTTTTCATTTGTGTCAACAGCGTTATAAATTGTGTCCCATGATTCCTTCAGCAGAGTCCGTAAATAATTGTATGTTAACTTTAGTGAATCCTCTGCACACGCGTGTATTATTTATGGCGTCAGAGTTCATGTTATTAGTAATTGTAAGAATATGTGTTTCGTGGCCACTAGCACCTAGATTGGTAGTTTTTATTTCATATCTATTTGTGGTTTTGTTAATTATAATTTGATCTATTCCTTTTTGTGATTTAAGCGTATTCCGTGTAGGTACATTCACTGTAATATCTAAAATAAAATAACGCAATAAATTGAGAAGCTTCCTTTTCGTGGGATTCGCTCAGAAAATAGATATTGAAATCTCCACATATAACATTGGATTTAAAAGATAGGTTACTAATTTTGTTCAGAGGTATCTCTAGGTTTTTAAGAAAATGAAATCATCTAAAGCTCGCTTTGTTGGAGGTCTGTAGATGCAAAGTAAGATAGTCGTACATCTTACTGCGCTCAAAACTGTTTCAAAAACTTTTTCAACTGCATATAAATCGAATTCCAAAAAGCTAGAATCAATATTTTTTACGTAAATACAAAAACCTCCGTAAACAGGGCCCTTTTTTTATTCCCTCGCTCTAAATCACTATAAATTTGGTGTTTAGATCATTATGAGACAACCAATAAAGCAAAAAACCTATTTAACCTAGACCACAGTGCCTCGATAAATTCTATTTTATTTGAAAGAGATAGTACATTATGATGTAGAATTTTTTGCATGTACCGACACGGATGATTCTCTGCTGCATTTAACTGTAGTTGCTTTTTATTTGTCTTTGTCTCATTTTTACCTCGAGTGCGTGGTCGAGTATCGTGCCTCAGCAGTGACTGGAGAAGAGGAAGGAGGGGGACAAATGTATATAAATGAATAATGGGAGAGTTAGTACAAGGTTCAAGGGATAAAGTAATTGGGTCCAAAGAGGATAAAGAGAACAAAAAGATGTGAGTGGGGATGTATGTTCGGCAGGACACTGCCGATGTTGTGAAGGGATGTGTTTTGCAAGCTCGCTACCGAGTGCATGTTTTCTGACAAGGTTCAGGTGAAAACCATGCCGGGTGAAGATTTTTTTTCTGAGAGAAAGTTTAGCTCAAATAATTTAACATGTGTGTCTTTCAGATGCAGTTTCAATAGGTTGTTTGCGTTTTTAATTTCTTTGCAGTGTTGGTTTGTTGTACCAGAAGGGCAGAGTCGAGACTATAACGTTCGTGTTTTGGGAGGCACGTTGTAGTTTGTCAACCAGTTGTTTAGGTGTAAAGTGACCACCCAAATTGATGGCATTCTGCCCTCCTATGATGATGACTACCTCCCGTTTGGCGAGAGTTTTTGTGTGGCTGTCCAACTCACTGGCCACGTCGGGAAACTACCGTTAGTTTTAAACACACCCGTGACAGAGAAATTGGATGGTTGTTACCCACTGAGAAGGGAGGAGAATTGTCGCCCATGACTATTTGCTAAAATCAGTACCTTTTTGATGGGCTCAGTGGGAATGTCCTTGTTTACTTGTGGACCAGGTTGCGCAACTCTACGTGCCTTTGTTCCTTTGCGCTTGCTAGCCTGTTTGCTTTGGTTTGTGGGTAGAAGTATCGCTGATTGGAGGGGATAGTGAGGATTGGAAAGGCAAGGAAACTCATTGTCATAATCTAAAGCAGAAAATCTGTTTTCAGTCGTGATTGGTAGTAGTGATTGTGTCTTTGCTTTCGCGGATAGACGTTTGGAGTTACGGTGTTGCCTATTGTTGTCCAACCGTCAGTGTTTTGAACGACTTCTTCGAGCCTTCGGATATGATCATCTAAATTATTGTTTATATGTGTGAAGGCTTTCAGAAGGTCGGCTTTGAGAGTGTACGGAGTAGAAAGTGTATAATGAATAGTAGCCATGAGTATGAATGAGTATCAACGTGCGTGGTAAATATGAGAATAAATAAATAGATAAGAACTCTGACTAATGTAGAATATATCTCCTAAAACCATATCCTTTTAATTTAAGTGTATTAAAGTATTTAAGTTGCGTCTTGATTTGAAAAATAACAGGTATGGGAATCTAATTAGTATTTAAATGTGATTAATTAAATGCGAAAGAATTTCAATGCATTTGAAGTAATAGATCTAAGCTGAAAACAAATAAATATAATTAGATTACTATACTTTACTTCTTGTAAGGCCGAAATTAACCACTTTTCGATTCCACAATTTGAGTTCAAGTTTGTTATGGTGTGCATTCTTGCAGGAAAGTTAATGTGTATTCCCAAATTATCTTATCTAAATTTCCTTACGATGAGGAAGACAACTTTCCGCGTCCGTCACAGTTTACATATACCAGTGTACTTTGCAGTGTGTGTTTGCTTCTAACATTTCCCTCCTCTCTCAGTACAAGTCTTGACCGGGAGAAGTTACTAAAGCACATTCGACTCCGGTGATGGTGAACTTCTGGGGACCAACATTTTTGGTTCACTATATAAAAGGTTCAATATTTCCCATAACGTCAAAATTAAATAGAATTTCTCCACAACGATTGATTTTATTAATATATGTATGTATACAGAATATACATTAACATGTACTAAAAATTTCAATATCAATTGTCGAATTATTTATTACTAATTTCTCTAGATCCTTCTCCCGAGTTCGTGTTCTCGTCATACTTGATCCTGTATTGTCCACTGTCCACTCCCACTGGGGCTGTGGCAGTCGAGCGTTTCCCACTACCTACGCTCTGACGCGCGATATCGCGTAACATCAATCTTGGAACAGAGGTATGAGGTCATCAAGAAGGTTCCCATTACGGGTCCGCTACGTTCACCTCAGGGGAGACATTATAGATTATGACCTTTGGCTGATATTTTGTCAAGCTGCCTTGTGTAGGAATTTGTGGAACTGGGGCGTTATTTTCTTTGTCCAGGAATGCATTAATTTCCATGTCATTGTATTGCCTACAACCTAGGCTTACTACCACCGAATCTTCTTATACGTATTGGTAATGTCAGTGAAACGGTCCCAGTGGCTTAAGTTCACTATAACCGAGGGTTCCTACAACTGGAGTCGACTGTACTCCACCTTCATTACTAACGAATATGTTTTGGCTACAAAATTCACATGTATGGCAGGGTGTTTATTTGTCAGTAATCTTTCAAGTTGTTACAATTTGTAACGTTATGTTTGTTACAGTCAGTACTGGCGTGGAACGTCATTGCCTTTTACCACTTCGCCGAGGGGCTCAGTGTCGTTAGATCTCGGGGTTTCTAGACGGTCACCCAACCCAACCACGAACCCGCGATGTCTCGAATTCGCTTAACCTATATAACTTTACAGAGCATAGTTAAGGAATTGGGCTAGCGACGTCGACATCTGTTTATATACTCGCATCAGAGCTCTCACTACTTAAATTCAGGAATGTCAGGACGAATCTGATCTTAAATCTATCAAACGCCCTATTTCATGATGAGAAGTCATTGTAGCATAGCTTTGCTGCAATTTCTTTCTTTACACCGAAAAAATACCGCAGTGTGGCACGTAATCTAGCTACTTTGCTTCAAACCATTTGAATAAAACTGTTTCCAATTCATTTTACGGAGTATCGCGCATTTTCTTCTATAAAATTCATTGGTAACCACAAATGCTCGCAGTTTTCAGTAATTCTTTTTTCTTCTTAAAAATGCCACTTCACGTGAAAGGCAATATTTTGTGCCTTTTGGCTACCGCAGTTAAGGGAGCTCCAATGTTGCTTACACTGAGAATGTCTTACGTTTTATAGTAATCATGAACACTTGAGGTATCCACTGGAAATATACGAGTATCAAGCGGGCGACTTTTAGAAATTCAAGCGTAGTCAACTTCACGCATACGGTTTGCCGCATGATGACAAACATTCGCGAATTAAGTTCATTAGTGATATGTTCATATCATCATTGTTTGACGATGATTCCTCGTTGCTTTCGCAAAACTTTGAAAAACCTTTCATTAAATTTACTTTCGTTGCAAGTAGCCGTTCAAGACATTTCGTTAAAAGCAGGAAAATAGCACGACAGATATATGGATTTCGCCGAGACCAAATAATCGATTCCTCATAGCCGGAAGTTCGTTATAAAAGGTTACGTTATATCGGGTTTATGTAAGCAAAGTCATTTTAATGCATATATATATATATATATATATATATATATATATATATATATATATATATATATATTGAACTCTCACCTAGTATCTTTTCATCAGGCGTTGCAGTGTCACCTGCAGCACCGGCATCCACTTCTAGTGTACTTTGCAGTTCACTTAAAGTTGGAACAATTGGAATAGAGGCAGTTGGTGGTGAATCACCCATTGGTTCTAACTCAGGTACAGATGCAGCCACCAAATCCAAGCGACAATGACGAGCCAGGAAGGATGTAAACTCATGGTCCACAGTAAAACTGAGGGTAAAAGATAAATCATGCATATCAAAGGTATATATTGTTTCACAAAAAACTTGATAACGAATGCATGCTTGTGAATCATGGAAAACAAGCAGAATTGTTGTTACAGAATTATTCCAATTTGTAAAGGGATGTCTGCAAATTGGGCCATCATGAAAATACTGAAATGGTAAAGTATGTGAACATTCGTTTTAAATGAAAATGGTAGTAGTTAATGTAGTCGGGGGAGGGGGGATTGATAGCATTGGGCTGCAGGACCGTAACATTTGAAAACGCCCGAAAAGACATGGGAAAATAAAATTAGTATGGGCTAAGCAATAGATTAGCATTTAGAATTTGAAATTATATGACACAAATGTAACATTGTACGACAGTCAGACCGGAGGATGGAGACGAGGGTGTAATGGCGGAGGAGGGTGAATGGTAGGAAAGAAATGAGTGGGTGAAGTGAGGAAGGATGTTTAGTACCACGTATAATTCTTATGTAAGTGCTTTTACGTAATTAAGCTTTTATTGTTATTAGTTGAATACTTCTTTCACAAAATCCATACTACTTGTAGTGCCTGTCTACTCAAGGAGCGCGGATCGGGGTCGGGAGAAGGGGCGAACGGGCACGACGGGCCTTACTTGCAGCGTGGAACGTCGGACGGGGTGAGCACGACGCGGCAGCGCTCGTGGCGAGTGTCGAGCAGCTGGCGCGTGAGCTCGCGCAGGTCGCCCCACTTGAGCTGGCCCGCTCCGGCCACGCGGCTGGCCTCCACGAGCAGCGCGCGCGTGCGCTCGGCGGCGGCGCTCAGGTCGCGCAACGCGGCGCGCGCGGTCTGCTCCGCCGCCGACCCGGCTGCCGCCAGGCGCTCCAGCAGCGCCGCCTCCTGCAGCTGCAGAAGGCCGTGCGCCATGGCGAAATGGCGCGTGATGGCGCGCTCCGCCTCCGCCAGCGGTCCGCCCGCCGCGCCTTCGTCCGCGCCCGCGCCCCCGCCGCCGACCGCGCTGCCGGCCGCCAACACTGGACGTTCCTCCGGCGGCAGCATCTGCTGCAGCTCCTGCACAGCATAAAACGAAATCCCGTCACTTTCGTTCCTCACTGACAACGAAACCACACAACTATTTCGAAGCGTTACCAAGGGAACACATTTTCACTCGCTCCTATATTATTACTCCATTGCGCAAAGGAGTGCCAGCTTCCAAGGACGTGATGATCCAAAAATCAAAGTATCTATTCATAGCGTGATAGGGACGTGGAAAGATTTATTCGAATTCAAATGAACTGTAAAACCCACGGTGTTACGCAGAAGACTCAAACTCGCATTTTCATGCAGAGTATAACTTAGCGGAGCGATTGCCGCGGGTCAGACTAGGTTCCCTTTGAATATTTATATCCTTATCTTTTATAATTCGCGTCAATTCCGAGAAAGTGCGCCCAAACGTAAACGGTTGCATAAGCGGCGCCGGTGGGGTCGCGGCCATTCCCACCCGCACCCCGAGAGATCGAACGGGCGCCGAGGTTATCCTCAGCAACTTTGGGCGTCATACGCTGCGGCCTCTTCAAGGCAACATGCCACACCACGGCCGTGAGAAGATTGGCTTGGAACAATTCAACAATAATGAAAACCAAAGGGGTCACAGTAGCATATACTTTCTCCAATCATTGGGAACGGTTACATAATATTAAAATATTTCCATTTCTGGCCTAACACATCAGCAATCACTTGAAGTCCAAACCAATTCAAACAACGCGCAATAATTTCTATAGCCAGGAACAGAAGTAATATCTTCCTTCTACAAAAGAAACAAACTTTAATGTATCTCAGATGCTAAAATATTTGGGAGTACATTATACAGACAAGCAAAATAATCATGCCTCGATTATATCGAAATGAGGTTCCATTTTTTTAATACTTATATGCACCATAATCAGCGATCAAACCCTTGTGAAATGAAATGTATACATTAAACATCCAGAGCTGAAGACCATCAAATACATCGCCTTTTTAATACATTAAATAAGACCATAAATTATCGCATTTTACCATTTAAGTATTATATCTGGAACACAATACAAACATGTGAAACACTGTAAGAAGTTAATTCTTTATCTAACACATCAAAAATAAATTTCTGCACTGACTCACCGTGCGCGGTGTCATTACGTAACGTGCTTGACGCGCACGGACGCGCGCGTATGTATGTGTGTCGGGAAGATTATAAATATATAATCTTCCCGACTATAATATAGTTGCATGTACCATTTTATTGAACATAAGAGGCCTTGTGACAGGTAGATTAAATAAATAAAGCATCCTTATCATTCAGCCCATATCACACTCCATTTCCTACTAATATTAATTAAAACCGTAATGTATAAAACTGTATTACTACAATAACTGCAGGTGTGCGAAGCTGTTTCAGGCACTAGGAGAAAGCCCAGTTGCGGCTCCACTAGTTTGCAAGGGGAGGGCGGCGCCACTGGTCCCCACTTGCGTCCCGCCGCGCCCGTGTGAAGCCTCCGCGTGTTATCGGGAGATCGGAGGCCAAATGCGCTTTCCGCTTTAGAGTCGAACGCACACGAGTGATAGCTTCGCTATTCCACATGCATCGCGCCCAACGAGGAAGGTTACAGCTGTAATTTTCGTTAGTGAAATTTGCGACACGATATTGTAGCTCCCTAGAACAAACTGATAAAAGTAGAGAAGTAAATTTCTACTCAAATAAGGATGTAATTGACTTTTGTAATATGCCACCGGCTGAGGTGGCTCAGGCGTCAGCGGATGTCACTGTAGTGCCTTTGATCTGGAGGTCCTAGTGTTCAAGTACCTACGGTAGAAGGTTTTTCGACATTTGCTACATAGCTAGGTGAAATTCTAGCGACCGACAAGCTCTGATTTCCAGAAGTTTTCCGTTGTTTCTTCGACCAATACCACGCGAATGCCGCCCGGCCGGGGCGGTGCTCTGCTGATGAGATACCTGCATAGGGAAACAGCTAGCCGACGAATAGGTCGGTGCCAGAACTTGCCACCCAGCGGAGAAGTTAACTGTCACATCTCATAATAAAAACACGTACTACACTTACGGAACCATAGCAGTTGACGCACCCGAAACACACAATAATCGATCAAGATGACACGATAATTTCTGGGAATTCAGCATTCAGTAGCATTGAAGGTTTTAAAGAAAATGTGTAAAAATCAACCGAGAAGAAAATTATTTTTCTTTTTTAATTTCGTGTTATTGGAACTATCAATTACAATACATTCCCTTCTTATAGCGTTCCATTTTAAGTAATTAATATTACCATTGTTGGAACATTTAGGTGATAATTGTGACATAGGATTACAGTTCAGTAATCGACAACTATTCTAGTGCATTATACTGCCCTTCTTCGTCAGTATTATAGACATTACTTCGATTGCTTTTAACTATGGGCTGAAAATAAAGATCTAGGATTCGTTTTGCAGGAAATTGGGTAGCGAGTCTGTCGCGAAGACGATGCGTATTCAAAACCCAAACGGGCAGTTGGTGCATCTCCTGTGTTTGACAGGCTGCGTCTACCCTCTCTCATCTGCCTCGGCTATGGCCAAGGTGAATAGAAACCATTATTTAAACATAAACGTCCTGTATCTCAGCCAAAGTACACATTTAATGTTGATTCACAAAATGTTTAATACTTTGTTCTCAGAACCTTCCTTTTGTGTTGAGGTTCTATATCCCCTTCAGGACCGCTTCCAACACTTGTGGGACGGAGGTTCCATAGAACAGAGGAATGAGCCTCCTCGCACTCTCAGTGTTTAAAAAATTGCAAGACAGTTTACAAAGTCTCTGGTAACTACACACAACCTAGAGGAGAGCTACTCAAGTGCAATAATTGGGTCCACACTAACTGCGGTGCGAAATACACTCTTTACTAGACTTGACCCAACTAGAGGCGCTAAAATAGCACATACTTTCTCGCCCCACAGTAAGTGTTATGTAATATTATACTGCATTTGTGTCTATATCAACACATCTCAGTGGATGAGCACTGACAACAAAGCGGGCATGCAGCGATGGGCCCTGCCAACAATGGGCACATACTTGATCAATTCTTCCTAAAAGCCCCATTTTTGCCATAAACGGAAGGTGGTCTGTCTTCGTGTGAAACCAGTATATATTTCATTAATTTCAAGTAGAAATTATGCTAAACTTTTTTTTTCCTTCAAAAAAAAAAATAAATAAATAAATAAAAAAAATGCACGTGACCTTTTTGAAGAGCTAATTTTGTACAACAGAGTTTGTCTGAGGCAAAACGATCATCGTACTTTTGATCATCATACTTATTACGTAAGTGAAGAAAATTGAAAGAAAACCTTTGGAGCGGTCTTTGAGAAAAATGTATTTTGTAATTTTTAATAGCAAAATATGCAATAACTTATCGTTCTTTAAAAAACAAACATCGTACATAACCATTTTTTAGATAATTGTTTACAACAGACATAGACAAAAATATTCAATTTTGAAATTTTAATGTTTTCTTTCTTCCAATTTTCGAAAAATCGGGGACGTTAACAACTGTGATATCTGCACCATTCTCAAATGTCTTTTGTAGTATTCAACAACAAAATTAGATAAAAAATATCGATTTCAAATTCCGCCGTTTCGACATCAGCTAACTATTGGAGAATATCAATTTTGGAGAAAATCGGCAGAACGGTTTATGCGCTAGCGTTGTGCACAGACGGGCAGACGTTTTGCCAGCAATCAATTTTTCGGCATGAAGGATCATTGCTACTTTATCAAAACAGAATATTACAAAACCAATTCCGAACCGGCAAAACAGCCCGCACAGCATTCTATTTGAAGCAGGAATTTGCGTGAGTCTGCGTCGCCACTGACGCAGCGGCAGACAGCAAACAGTACACGGTGGCGGCGGCGCCCCGTTCTTGACCCGGGGCCGGAGCCGGTGGCGGCGGCAGTGGCGGCGGCGGCGGCGGTCTCGCGGGTTGCGGTACGGGAGGGGCCCTTTCCCTCTCACCGCCGCCGCCGCCGCCGCCGCCGCGACCGCGCGCGGGGGGGCTGACCCCGATCGCCGGCGCCGCCACCGCCGCCGCGCCAGTGCTCTCTCCGCGACGACGGCGACGACATGGCCCGGACAGCGCGCGGCAACCTCTGAGTCTCCTGCGCTCTCCGCGTCTCCTCGTCCGGTGAGCCCCACGAGTGAGCCCGTGGCCCGACCGCGCCCGCGGACTCTGGGACTTCGCCGCATCACCCCTCATCCGCCGACGGCCACCGCCGCTGCCATGGACGCGCGCCGCATGCTGGCCGCGCTGCTGCTGCTGTGGCTGCGAGCGTTGCTGCTCGCGCCCGGTGAGTGCCCCCGCGCGCCCGACTCGCGTCGCCTCGCCTACGCAGCTGCCCGTTTGGGCGGCTCCCGCACGCGCTTCTCGCCACGGTTTATGGTACTCCATAATGGGAGGTGCAATTGCTCGAAAGAAAAAAAATCCCTTAATAACGTACCATTTATGCAGATTTTCTTACATGATATTAATTATGAATTATAAAACCGATAGTTGAAGAATCAATAACACATTTTAAAGATGAATCAATGCTGACATGATTTTGTCTCATTAAGTCAGCACCTTATTGCGATTTCGCCTAGGGACGTAAAGTTCCAAGCTGTGCCCTATTTTCGATAATCCAGCTAGCTCCCACAACTTCTTCATTTTCGACTAATGTTCAATGCAAGAAGAAATACTATGCATTATAATAAGTCTTAATACATGGATAATAGGTTTAATAATGTACACAAACGCATTTGCAAAACTATTGTCACAGTATATTACTTAATAATCGAAGAATAAATACAGAACGTATCATTTTAAGAAAAAAGATCTACAAGAGCTATTATCAATTTCCTAATGAAAATGATACAATGTTCAGCACATTAAAACATTACTAAACGTGATAAGTTTCATTTCATTTTATTTACGAAACAGAAAAGACAATATCTGTTGTTCTCACAAAATACGAAAGTATAAAGGGCGAAGTAGATGAATTGGGAGGAGTGTTTAATTTTCGTTATTCCTTCGTTTAAGCTTCCCAAGGGGAAAAAAACAAAAAAACTTTTAAACTGTATTCACGGAAACCCTCAAAAAATTATTACACGTGTTTTTAACGAATGCTTTATTCATTGAAGAAGCAATTTTAACAACCAAAATGCCGACAATGTTTATTACGATAGTATATTTCAGTTATTTATCCGTAATGAAATAGAATGACCAAAAGTTGGATTCCTCTTCAAGCCATATATACTCTGAAGTAATGTGTGTAATAAAAAAAAGAAGCTTATGCAAAAAAACTATTAAAATAAAATAAAACGTACATACATCATAACACATCCAAATTGTAGTTTAGAAACTATGAACGTAGGGACGGATTCTTCCAGCTTGAATTTAGCGATACGTTCTCCGTACACTTATGTCCTCTGCACTAAAATAAAATTAAAATATAGGCAGTAAAGCTCCGAAAGTTGACAAATTACACGACTTATCACGCAGTATGGTAGGGTCATTCTACATATTCAAGAGTATTTGATCGCATGTATATTATATTCGTATATTATTTGAAGAAGTATTATTTGGTATATGCAACATTTTAGAAACAGTCATCCTGCGATAATTAGTTTCTCGAACTAGTACTCTTAGTCCAATATCATTCCACTTCATATCATGCCAGTATTAAATTATCTGATAAATAAAACGCAAAACGCATTGATACTGGATCATGTTCTATGTTCTTTGAAAGTAATAAATTATTCTTTATCATCTTCGTGAATGCACGAATACGGAAAAATAAGAAAAATACTTTCCTCAAAACGTGGAACTGAAATTTGACGCTGAGAACAAGAATTCAAATTGCATTCGTCTTATCAAAATAACAGACCAAGAGTATCAACCAATGCTTGCCAAATTCATGTTACCTGCCATTCGAACACACCTTTGCCTGAAGTGTATTGACACTTAGACCTGAGGACGATTCAGCCTATAAAGTTATATAAACCTTGTAACACCCCCCCCCTTGAAAGGCAAAAATGCCGAGCAAGGAGAAATAAAATTAAAATTAAAGACAAAAGAACGAAAATATGACTTATCAATGGCAAACGATTCTCACCAAG